CGGGCTGAACGCGGGATCCGTCGAGGTGCCGAGTGCGGGCTGGTCGCCTGGTCCGGTTGGACGCAGGATCCGCCGAGGTGCTGAGTGCGAGCTGGTCCGGCTGGACGCGGGATACGCTGCTCTGCGGCTGTGCTGGCTCGCCAGGCTGGACGCGTGCGACAACCGACCTAACGCGGACGCGACTTCACCACATGACGCAGACACGACCTGACGAGCTGACGGGATGCGACCTGAGCAGTGGGTTTGCGAAACGGGCCAATTCGGGTTGACCTGCGGGTTGTCGGGTCAACCCGAACCCGACCCATTTTTCAAACTAGTCAAAAATCCGAACTCGGACCCGACTCGTTTCTCAAACGGGTTGACCCGACCCGATTTTTCCTGGTCGGGTCGGGGTTAGGTTTGAGGTCTGATCAAAAGTTGACACCACTACTTTGAAGCCTTCTGATCAAGGAAGTTCTTCTGGAATCTGCATAGCTTGTTAGGAGTGCTAGTCAAAATATGTGTGCATCATGTCATTATAATTTCAAATTATGATAATCCATACAATTTAATATTATTACAACTTCATATCTTGAACCTTAAAACATAATTGAAGCAAAATCTTAACACCTACAAGCTGAAGGCCATAAGATATCTTAAATAGTCAACATGAAAATAAGAAGAAACTCTATTAGAACACAAGGCATTTCCCATTGCATTTACATAGGAACAAAAGTATTAGATAGTTAAAAATATGAAGAAATACATGATTAAGAGAGATTAGTAATGTAAATGTTCATAACACCTTATTTTTCTTCCACCTATTTTATTACACATGATAATAATTTGGTGAGATATATTATTTGACAGAGCTAATATTTTATTTGGTAAAAATAAAATATTTTTTTTAAGCATTTTGGAAGAGGATTAGCTGAATCATAAGGCCATTACAAATTATAAATTAGAATTTATACTTCAATTATGGGCTATTTGTAAAGGCTATGTCATGAAAATAATTGTACGGCTGTGTTTGCAAAGTAGGAGTGCCATATCTGTTTTTTCATGGGCCTGATCCATTTTTCTAGGCAACTTAGGTTGGCAACTTGGATAGAGGCTTTATGGGCTTAACCCATTCCGAACTTTATAAACAACTACTATGGGAGTGTGAGCCCAAACTGACCAATGAACATGACTAGAGAGGGCAAAATCAGGTTCGGCTTAAGGCATCTTTAGAACGTCAAACATGTGTATAGCTTGTTCGTTTGCTCCAATCGAATGCCAATTTTTTTGTTATTTTCTTGCGAGTGAACAGTACGATGCTAATATCACACTGTTTACCTGTTATATGTTTTTTTTTTAATTAAAAAAATTGGTTATTAATTTTAAATTTTTAAGTATGAGAAAGAATATACTAGGAATATTCTCTTTTTGATGTTAAAAAATAGAGTTTAGTTGGAGATGAGTTACTGCATATTGATGTATTACTATATTTTGGAGCGAAAAATGAGTTTTTTTGGTTGAGATGCCTTTAGAGGCTCCTTTACAGTTCAGTTATTATTATCTTCTTGTTTTTAAAAGTTTCTATTAAAAATGTTATATATATATATATATATATTGATACGTCATCACAAAATTAGCTTGATTGGGCACGAATCTCGAAGCAAAAGCTAGTTGGAAACTTCAAAAATTAAATCCGGGAGCATATGAACTCCGATTTCAGCAAGCTAATCAAAGTCTAAGGCTTCATTTGGGATGACTTTCTTAATATTTTTTAAAATCAAATTTTTTACTTAAAAAATGAAAATATTGTATTAAAAACCCCCGCTTTATGAAGTAGTAAGAAAGCTATCCAAGATGAAGCCTAAGCTTATTTGAAAAACTCAAATGAGTTTGTACATTGGTATCACCAAAATTCTACCAAACATAAACTTTATTTAAAAAATATAGAACCAATACATAAGTTTAAAATTTGTAAATAATCAATATGCATAAAAAAATATAAATAATCAATATACTAAACATCTAAGTAGTTGTACTTTAAATGAAGTTTTTTTTTTCTTACTTCACTATCTAATCATATTTTTGGAGTGTTCAACTGTTGAAATCATGATGCATTTTCATTGCCCACATTTAACCATTTCTCCTTAAGTTAAACAATCCTAAAGTACAAGTCTTAAGCTTTATTTGGGACAATTTTCTTACTACTTTCTATATGAGCTTTGTTGCACAAAATTTTTTTGAAAGCGGTGAAAAAATTTGGTTGAGGGGATAATTAGTGCTCATCAATTTGGTAGAGGGGATTAATATCATTTGAATTTAAGGGCTTATGTAGGGGTGTCAATTCGGGTCAATGGGTCAGGTTCGGGTCGAACCAAGAACTGATCTGGCACTATTCGTGTCAACCCGAACCTGACCCATTTTTAAAAACGGGTCAGGTTCTTGGACCAGAACCCAACCCGATTCGGGTTCGGGTCAACCCGACCCAACACGAATGACCCGGGGTTGACCCAAAATTGCTAATTTTCAGGTAAAAAATTGGGTCAATCTTCGATTTTCGGGTCAAAACGGGTCAATCTCGAGTTTCTGGGTCAAATACGAGTTTTCGTGTCAATTTCGGGTTGTTGGGTCAACTTGAACCCGACCCGATTTTTAAAACGGGTTTATTTGTTGAACCAGAATCCGACCCGTTTCGGGTTCGGGTTGACCCTAACCTGGATTTTTCCGGGTCGGCTTTGGATCGTGTTTCGGGTCATGTCAAAAATTGACACCCTAGGCTTATGCCTCTTCCCTTATTGATCCACAAAAATATTCAATTAAAATCTTCTTACCTTTCTATGCTCTTCTTCTAAACCTTACTAACTATACATCGCTCTTTTAAATAATCAGTTATGATAGAGTTATACCCTATTGCCTTCTCGACCTCTTGTTATGTAAATATTATGGCTAGGGATGAATGTTTACTTCATATCTATATTTTCTTTTAAGTTTGTATTCTCAACCAAATAATTTTCATGTCGCCTACAGTTGCTTCTCATATTTTGGAACTCTTCATCAAATAAGAATTATCTAAATTTCATTTAAATGATTAAAACAGACTCAATTACTCCCGATATGATGTTATTCTCTTTAATATGGTGCATAATGGAGTATCCTTCTTTCCAAATATCTCAATCATTCTCAATAATAATTGATGAATCAAGGCTCCAGAGAACTATTGTTATGAAGTTTTATATAATTGATCAAATGGGGATCTCTAAACCTCAACAATCATATCATTAGCCCCAAGCTATTTAGCTAGTTACTCCATCACACCCTCGATTTTGTATATTACCTAAGCATTGTAATAACCCTAATATGATTTGGACGAACTTCTACATACATAGCAAAATAAATCAAACGCCTTTAAAAGACCATAATCAAATCACGACCAAATATTCCTCAAATGATGATTGAATCTTATTTGATCATCATTCAAACAATCTTCAAATAATGGATTAATATGATCAAAATATCTTCGAATAATGATTACACCAAGATCTAACCATTCGATCATTATTGGACCAATATTCTCTCCATGATCGAAAAATCTTTTGATCATGTTCAAACCATCCTCCTTAATCAAATCATCTTCGCTCATCATTCAAATATTTTTTAATTATAATTTTATCATGATTTGAAGATAATTTCAATCATGATCTAAAATGGTTTAAAGAACAATTGTTCGTGCTTTAATCATTTTATAACAAGTTTATATCAAGTAATATATTGTCAAATGTCATCCTAAGTTTATAATTTGAAATTAAAATATTATAATCAAATTTAAATAATCAAACGTATAGCTTGTAATATTTACAGACATTGAAGGCAAAGACCTTCATCGAAGCCTGAATACTCACATGATGCAATTACTCGAAATGGAGAATGTGTTGGAAATAAGGTTCGAGGATCTCCTATAATTAAATGGTCATGTAACTTTTCAATGAGGGGTATATTTTATGGGGAATTTACATAAGCACCCTTTTATTTCATACCATTTATCTATTTAATATTTAATATTTTAGTATTATATATCACATACAGAATAAATATGAGTGCATGAAATGAAATATTAAAATTTGTAGGACGTTTTGACTGGTAAGAATGAAATATAAGAGTGATATATTTGATATTAAAATTTTATATGAGCGGAAATAATGAATATTAAAGTTTTGTGTTTAGATATGTAAATAGTATGAAATAAATGGGTATGTATGTAAATCCCTTTATTTTATTTATGAAAAATAGTGATGCTTTAATTTAAAATGAAAATTTTAGTTTATTTTTTTAAGAAATAAATAACAGATTTTTTTTTTGTTATGGGTTTTATCTCAAAATCGACGCAATAATACAAAGGAACTTAAAGCGCTTTTTGTCAAATGTCATCATTGAGCTTGTTGTGTGATAGAAAAGTACCCCTCAAACTTAAGGGAAAATTCTATAAGATGGTAGTGAGGCATGCAATGCTTTATGATGCTGAATGTTCGCCATTAAAAGAGAAACATAATACTAAGTTAAGTGTGACAGAATTGAGGATGCTCAGGTGGATGAGTGGCTTTACCCTTAGAGATAGGATACGAAATGAGCATATACGTGAAAAGGTTGGAGACCATTTATCTATTTAATATTTAATATTTTAGTATTATATATCTATCACATACAGAATAAATATGAGTGCATGGAATGAAATATTAAAATTTGTAGGGTGTTATGAGTAGTAAGAATAAAATATAAGAGTGATATATTTGATATTAAAATTTTATATGAGCGGAAAGAATGAATATTAAAGTTTTGTGTTTAGATATGTAAATAGTATGAAATAAATGGGTATGTATGGAAATCCCTTTATTTTATTTATGAAAAATAAATACGTTTTAATTTAAAATGAAATTTTTAGTATAATTTTTTAAGAAATAAATAACAGATTTTTTTTTTTGTTTGGGTTTTATCTCATAAATGGGTATGTATGGAACTTATAAAGCGTTTTAGGAGTCTATTATGCTTCCTCTAGCGGCGGTAACGTTCAGACTCCAAGAAAGGAACTTTTTCGGCGGCAAAGGCGAGCACAGAGACGGAGAGACCGGTCGAAATTTGAGCTCTGTTCATACGCTTAATTTAATATCTTTTCATTTCCCCTTCCATCTGAGGATCTTTAAACCGCTAGAGGTTAGGGTTTCGAGGAGCTGACCGCCACGGATGCCGATGGACGATGGGTTGTTGAACGACATCATACGGCGGCTACTGAGTGCGAAGAACGGGCGTTCGACGAAGCAGGTCAATCTTACCGAGGTCGAGATTCGAAAGCTCTGCTTTGCGTCCAGGGAGATCTTTCTCAGCCAGCCCAACCTCTTGGGGCTTGAAGCGCCCATCAAGATTTGCGGTAATCTCTTCTTTTCTTCGTTTTTCTTTTTATTACTACATCAAACTTTTTATCGAGTTCGAAATCCAAAACCCCAAACACTTTCCTCTTTGAAGATTATCTTACCTTTCCCTCCATCTCTTTTGTTTGATGCTGAATTCATGTTGATCCTTTTTTTTTTTCTTTCCACTTGTTACAGTTATATTAGGATTTGCTAGCCATGGTTACAGAACTTAATCCTATAGAAAAATCTTCCTTGTTGCTTACAGCTTCATTTTGTAAAAATTATTGGCATTGCATGTTTTCTGCTTTTTGACTCTTTAATAGCCACCCCTTACCTTGTTGGTTCTGTTAAGTCTAAATTAAAAGGGAAATTTATCAAACTACCTCATAATTTTTTATAAGAGAATAGTGTCTCAATTACATCAAAATATATTTATAAAAATTTTTATTTGTTTAATATTATATAAATAAATATAAATATTTAAGTCTTAGATATATAAATATATAAGAACTCTGTAGCAACATGCAAATCCTCTGAATTGAAAATGTCCACTGGGAATAGTTTTTCCTAGTCTTGAAGATAACTTCTTGTTCATATGAATGCTTTATCTCCTTGTTGTTTTAATCCACAACCAGTCGCTGTGCTTCCAGCTAAGGAGAGTCTTGTTTTCAAAGAAACGCAACGAGTGCTGCGCTTTATTTCTTTGGTAGTAAGGAATAATATCTACTTTATTCGTTTCTCTTTAGTGACAATATGCCTTTCTTATCACATTTATCAACATGTGTACTTTGCTGCTTTTTAACAACCAGCTGTAGATATGTATATGTAGCTATCATTTTCATTGAAAACATGGTATTATTTTATGTTACGAATCTTATATGTGGTGCCAATAAAATTAAAATATGGTTCACATATAGCTTTGTTTTTTTTGGTTGGGAAGATGCTTCAACAATGTCCATTTTGTCAAAAGAAATTCCACTAAAGCAGCTGTATGGATTTGGATGAAGGTGGCAACTGTTGAGGTCTATTATAGGAAAAATTATTCTGTCGGAGTCCGGAGCCGTTCGGAGACTAATAAAAATGCGCCACATCACCCAAAAAATGTACCGCGCTTGATACCGAGAGCGGTACCGGACGGGGGAACCGTTCGGTGTCCACACAGAATAATCTCTCTTGGTATAGGCTCCATCTTTTATTATAATTCACTCATCCAGCAGATTTAGGATTTATGAATGTTTGTTTCTGAGGAAGCATAAATATGAGAAAGGATGGTGTAAATATTTGTTTTAAACATACAAGCTAATTTGCTTGGTAATTGATGGAATATTGTTGATTAAAATTCATTTTTAAGTCATCTGTGTATCTCATTAATGACTGATCTGATAGGTTGCTTAGTCCAAATTGACTATTAGCCATGCATTTCATTTTATTGGACTGGAATGCGGCTTTCCATTTTCGAAACTGACATATTTTGCAAAACTGTTGATTGAATTTCTGATGAATTTAAACTACAGTTTCCTTGGGTCTTTGATGGTTGTAATTTTTTTTGGGTTGTGGAGGTAATCAAGAATTGGGCCAAATAGAAAAATCATTGGAAAGTAGATCCAGAACTGACTTCTTAAGTATTGATATTTGACATATATTACTTAATTTTTTTTCTTGGCTGGCAACAATGTTTAGGTTAGAGCATTTGATTCATGAATGGCAACTGAAAAGTTTTTACTCGCAATTAAAAGATTCTAATAGCTTTTGTTACATTTTGAAGTGGGTCTCGGACATTGATTTCATTCATCTTCTGCTTGAAAGCATGAATATGATACTTTCTTTTTCTCAAGTAAGCTCTAAAAAGTTAGGATGAAGATGAAATTGATTCATCATTGGCTAAAAAGTAGAATTTTAAATATAATGGAACTTATCTGGATGTTTCTGTGAGGTATGTCCCGTAGCTGCCTCCTAAATTTCTAAAAGTTAATTTTCTGCAGGGCCAGATACTCTATTCCCCTTGCCATATCAAAATTTACTTATAGTTGTTTATGAACCTGAGATCTTCATCCCTCTCTGTCATTTTAATTATCTGCACTAATTTATTTAGCTTGGCAGGGGATGTTCATGGGCAATATTCTGATCTTCTCCGCTTATTTGAATATGGTGGCTTTCCCCCCGCAGCCAACTATTTGTTCCTAGGTGACTATGTTGATCGTGGAAAACAGTGCATAGAAACCATCTGTCTCCTCCTATCATACAAGATCAAGTATCCAGAGAACTTCTTCCTTCTAAGGGGAAACCATGAATGTGCCTCCATCAATCGTATCTATGGATTCTATGATGAATGCAAGAGAAGATTTAATGTTCGCCTTTGGAAGGTTTTTACAGAAACCTTCAATTGCCTTCCAGTTGCTGCACTTATTGATGAAAAGATACTTTGTATGCATGGGGGATTGTCACCAAGTTTAAAGCACCTGGATCAGATAGAGAATATTGTGAGGCCAACTGATGTGCCTGATCAAGGTCTTCTTTGTGATCTTTTATGGGCTGATCCCGATAAAGATATTCAAGGTTGGGGGGAAAATGACAGAGGTGTATCTTATACATTTGGACCAGACAAACTTTCAAAATTTCTCCAGAAGCATGATTTGGATCTCATCTGCCGAGCTCACCAGGTCAATTTAACATATCCGTTTCAAGTGTGCAATTCATTTTATTACAAATGTCATCATCTTCATGCTATTTAGATTGATTTAAAGATTTTTTTTTTCTTTGGCATTCACTCCTATTGTTGCATTGATGCTCAAGTTTAGTTTTTCTGTTTTGTTTAACTGTTTGTTCTATCTATACATTGCGACTATTTTTTCTTGCAAGTCTTACCATATAGAGTGTAAAACTGAGTGTACAGAATACACAAAGTCATCATAGATGGTTAAAGTTTGAAATGAGTAGTTTGATCATGACATCCACATTTATTACTACATTTATCCAGGCCAGTGAGCATGGAAAAACAGTCCTTTTGTGGACGCATTCCTGCTTTGGATAGCGTCATAGCTGGAATCTATGTTCAATGGACAATGTTTTTAAAATTGGACTGGACTTGCCAGTTCAATCGGTTGAATTAGGAACTGGTTGGCCAGGTGATCTAGTAATTTTTCAGAACTAGTTATGCAAGAAACCAACTTAATCGAGTTGAACACGGTTTGACTGGCGAATTGGTGCCAATTTTTAAAAATCGGCTGGTTCATTTGCTATTTTATTTGCCTAATCAAATAAATAAATTTAATATAAAATATTTAACTTAATTAGTTAAATTAACTTTTATAATAATCATTTGTCAGATAAGCACTAACCAAGTATTTTCATATGGCTCCAGCATCACATGTGTTCTTTACTCATGTGAACCAAAAAAATTATATAAACAATACTAACATATAGTGTTCAAATAATGTGAGACTAAATTACTAAGATACAACTTTCAAGTTCACAACAACAAAAACAACATCAAGATTTTATCCCACTACATAGGGCCAACTACATGAATCTTTTATCTCCATTGTGTCAAATTCTCATTTAAATCCAATAAAAAATATAATTTTTAGTACTTTCTAGCCAAGTTCTTTTAAATCTACCTCTACCTTTCTTAACATAGGTCGAATCTAATATATCCACTCTCCTAACATGGTCATCAGAAGAGCGATGTTTTATGTGAACAAACCATCTAAAGAGATTCTCTTTAATCTTATTTTCCACTGGAACTACTCCAACCTTATCACATATATACTCATTTCGCATTCTATCTCCAAGTGTAAAGCCACTCATCCACCTAAGCATCCTCACCTCTGCAACACTTAAACTTAATTTTATACTTCTCTTTTAATGGCCAACATTCTGCGCCATAAAGCATTGCAGGTCTCACCCTCATCTTATAAAATTTTCCCTTAAGTTTGAAGGGTACTTTTCTATCACATAACAAGCCCGATGCATTCCTCCATTTCAACCATCCAACATGGAATTCTACTAATAATATCCCCATCAATTTTACTATCGCTTTGAACAATAGACACGATATATCTAAAAAGTGCACTCATTTGAATTACTTGATCACCTAATGCCACAATATTCCACCATTATATCTATTATTAATAAAATTACAATCCATCCTACTTGAACACATCCACTATATATTTTTACATATAATTAAATTTTTATCATGTGAATATTTTTTAATTTTTAGTTAATAATATTTAACTTTTTATCCACTAAAATTTTAATTTATTTAATTATGCAATATACAAACTATTTTTTATATATTTTTAAATTATAAACGATCTTCGTGAATTTATATATTTAATTTTATAATTGAATTTTTGTATATAATTTATTGGTGTAAATTATGTCTAAATATATAGCATAATTTAGTAATTATTTATATTAAATTTAGAAACTTATATATGAACTAATTTTATATTAAATATGAATTAGATTTAATTATTGAATATGTTAAAATTTAAAATTATAGAATATATTATTTGTGCATGAATTTTATTTATTTTCAATCACAAATTTACATTTTTTGCATAATTATTACATCATTGTTATGTCATTTTGATGTCATTTAAATAATTTTAATGTTTATTGCATCGTTTGGTCAATCTAGATCAAACCATTGAACTTGAATATCTCATTTAATTTTAGGTTCTATATTTGGTCCGGTTTTTACAACTTTGGTAAAACTTAGTAAGTACATAAAGGAAAGGCATAATACTTTGAAAAAATCAGAAGAACTTATAATATGAACATGCAAACGGAATTATAATAGTAGAGTTAAAGTGCAAATTAAAATAACTTTGAATATTATAATGATATATAAGCTAGTACAATACATATTGAAAATTTCATCAAAGAATAATATACTAAAACTTTAAAGGAAAATGGTTCAATAATTAATTAGAGGAGGTTGCAATTGTATCTTTTCCAATACGTGTGGCTCCATCATTAACTAGATGCTTTTGTAAATATCAGTAGTTTATCATTATGTCGTATTGATATTTTTATAAATTATTACATTGATCAGGTTGTAGAAGATGGTTATGAGTTCTTTGCAAGTAGAAAGCTGGTCACAATATTTTCTGCGCCAAATTACTGTGGGGAGTTTGACAATGCTGGTGCCATGATGAGTGTCGATGATGCTTTGACATGCTCATTTCAGATCCTCAAGCCTGCAGACAAGAGAGTAAAATTTGGATTTGGGAATGGAGTGATAAAACCCGGAACACCACCTAGAAAGGTCAGTTTTCATTTGCTAACAGCTAACCAACTTCTAATAATTTTACTCTCTTTTTTTTACAAATGACTAGTTGAAAGTTGAAACACCGCCTAGAAAGGTCACTTACTAGCACACCAAGGGCTCGGTATCTTATGACTAGATTCTTTATTGTTTCTCTCTGCCCAATAAGATTAATTATTATGTGCGGATGCCGAACTCCATTCGGAGACCAACCAGAATGTGCCACGTCACCCCTTCGCTTGGTACCACGGTTCGGTACCACTGACGTGATGCATTCTGATTGGTCTCCGGACAGCATTCTGCATTCGGTCTCCGCAATGAATAATTTCTCTCATGAGGTTCCTCCTGACCCCCTTCCTGTTGTTTAAACTTGAAAGGAAAGTGTAGAGTTTGGTGTTTGTTTGTAAATAGGAGCAAATGATGGAAAATTTTATAAATTAGATGTTCCACCTCTTCTTCCTTTTCCTCAACCATGACGAACAGAAGACCCCCCTTTTCATTCAAAGGTCTTCTTCTTCTTCTTTCATGATGTCCTTTTTCTTTTCCTCCTGTTTGTTCATGCCAACTTTTGGTTGCCTTTTTTTCTTGAGGAAAGAATGATTTTGATGGGTTTTTGAATATGTGGCATTGGTCTAAATAAAATTTAAATATTCTGCAGATTTTCCATGTTAAACAATGGGGGTTCCACTTTCCTTCTTTTACTGTAAATTTTGGGGCTGTTTGTGCATTAGAGTCAAGTGGCATGAATCAAAAGATGCATATTGCAGGATGAGAAAGCAATTCACAGTTATAACTAATGGCTGTTTCTCAACATCAACATCAAAAGTATAATCTTACTATTATAATTAAATCTAAATCTTTTCTTAAAATTTTATTTGAAAAAGTTTAGTTACCTTGTAATGAAATTCTGTGGATGTCATTTTTGGAAATGTTTTGCTTCAGAGTACACTTGTGTTATCAATTTCTTCAGTGTGCAGTTTCAATTATAAGTTTTTAGCTACTAGCTTGCTAATAATCTTAATTTTGTCATAACGTATGATGATGAAGTATTTCCAAGCTACTGTTGAAATAAGCTACTTTCATCATCTGCTAGTTTGCTAAATAATTATATTTTTTTTCCATAGCGTATGGTTAGAACTGTCAAAATTCTATCACTAGTCGGTTCGTCCAAATCGGAATTGACCCGACACTAGTTGACCCGATCCGAACCCATCCTATTTTTTTTAAAACGGGTCACTTTGTCAGACCCTAATCTGACTTGCTTTGGGTTAAAAAAAAAACAAGCAACCACTTGATCTCCTTTTCCTCTTCGATAGACCTTCTCGATAACTGGTATTGTTGATTGGAAGCTTAAGCCATGCAGACAAGAAGAAAAACTATTTATCTGAAATAAATTGATTGTGATGTTTCTTGTGGTTCCCTTTTGTTTTGTGCATTAGTGTGTTTTAAAATGAAAAAGGGCTAGTGTGCTAATTTTGTATATCATGATTGTGGTCTATATTTTTTAATGGATAGGACCATTTCTTTTTCTGTGAACTGGAAATTTTGAAAAGAATTTTTCGAAGGAATTCATATATTTCTTATATGGAATCCCCAGGCTTTTCATTTTCAACCGCTACAAGATCAATGATACCATGAGCTTGGACTTCTGTTGCTGACATAAAAACATCCCTTTCCATATCTTCGAATATAACCCAGTTGCCCGTTCTTTGTACATAAACTTTTGTAAGAGTTTCGCAAAACTTTAATAGTTCTTTTGCTTCCAGGAAAAATTCCCCTACTTGTGGCTCGTAAATGTTGATTCCTCTAAATTGTGTTGGTTTGTGGCGCCTAGCTCTTGATTCTTGTAACGCTTCAGCTTTAAATTATTTGGCAACCTCATTATAATGGTTTTTCTTTCTCTCTCCCCCAACTCATCTTTACAACAAAGAAAATTTCTTTATTTATAGAGTAGAATGAGGCAAATGTCACCATGTCCATGTTCAGAATGAAAGAAAAAAACAATGTCAGAACATCCTTACTATCAATATGGGCTTTTAAAGCTCTTGAATTTGCTGCTTTGAATTGAATGCAATATAAATTATTTTTGTATTGCACTTATTTCAAAGTAAATCCAAAAATTTTAATGATCATCTTGATAGTCTTGAGTGTGTGAGCTTCCCTTTTCCAGTTGAAGTGGAGCATGAATTGAAGTATTAAATTAAACAATTCAAAGCATATGCTACTTCAACGGATCTTCCTAAAAGTTCCATTGTAGTTATAAAATCTACATAGTCATTTCCTGCATGCTAGTTTTCAATGTTTTATACATGAGTTTTAATGTTTTCAAGAGGAAAAACCAAACAAAGAATCTCATACTTCGTTCATTGGAATGAAATTCTGCTAAGTTAGCTGATCTTGAAAACATCTGTTCTTCAGGGTTGAAGAGATTGAATTCTATCGCCTGGCCTTTTCAGCTACAAATCGAATACAGTTTTTTATGCTTGAGGTTATCCTTCTGGACCTCCAACATTTTGTACATAGTTATATAGGAAATGCTGTTCTGTAGATGCCAAGGTAATGATACTATGCAAATGTATAATATAGTTGTTTACTTATATCTTCACAGCTAATTGTGACTTTTACAAGTCATAACAATTTGAGTAAAAAAGTTTTGCTCAGCATATTTCTGAGCTAAAATTTAGAATATATTTCCAAATATTATTTTTTCTTGAAACTATTAATTATTATCTTGCAATATAAAATAGATTCTTTTTAGGAAGTTAAGATTTCATTTGGAATGGTTTTCTTACTGCTTAGATATAAAAATTTTAATTTTTATGTTAGAAAGTTGCTTTAAGAAGAACCGGTAAGAAGCCCGTCACAAATGAAGCCTAAATCTATTTTTGTCCAATGTTTTTTTTCAGAATAATGAATTTGAATTCACAATTAAAAAAAAAAAAACAATCTTCTTCAACCACTGTTAATAGCTTTGTTCAAAGAATTATGATTATCATTTTTTTCATTAGAATTAAAATTATTATTTTTAAGATTGAAAGACGGATAGTTGTTTCTATTGTAGCACAATAATCAATTCTATTGTAGCACAATAATCAACCTAATGTTTCTAATATAAGAAAGATTTATCTCAAAAATTCAAGAAAAAAAAACCCAATGTTTGAATTTAGCTTAGAATTAGCTGATCCAAAGTATTTTTCTCACTCAATTTTTTATTTAAAACAAAGCATCCAGTCCATACATATGTCTATCAGACATTATTGATTGCCTAATTACATGCTCGACTCCTATTCCACACACACAGATAAAGAGCGAGTAATGAAAATTAGGATTCTGGGCTCTTCTCCCTCGAGAAGAAATCAGTAATGGAAGGAAGCTTCAACTCCCCTTTGGTAGACAAAGGAATGGTAAAATTCCCGACGATCGGTAAATCAATAGTTAGCCCAACATCAAACACGTAATCGATATCCCAATCGCGGCCAATATCCCTAAGCAAGCTCATCAAGAAATCGTAGGGTACCTTGAATGGAACCTCCAGCTTCGTCAATCCACTCGCCTCAATCCATCCAGGATCCATCACCGACCCCGACGCCACAACCCTGCTTCCTCGCAAATCAATACATGCTTGAATTGATTGATTACAAGAAGAACAAGAGGAATCAAGTGATTCACCTGTCGGCGCTCTTGAGAGTATAGTTGAGCTCGCAAACGGGGAGCCGGTGACTGTAAGGGTTGTCGACGGAGACCTCGCCGTGGAAACGGGCGCCGTCCCTTCCGAGGTGCTTGACGGAAACGTCCTTCAAGCTCGCCTCCGGCATCTTCACGTGGGCGATCTTCTCCGCCACGAAGCCCTTAGCTTTGTCCATAAGACTCGACATGGTTATTCGCTTTTCTTCTCTGTGAGTTCCAAGGGGAGGGTCTATATGCTTTTTATAGGGGATGATAACAGCTATTATAATTACAGAGATGCTGTGGTTTTGACACGTGGAGCTTGCTGACGGGTTGAGGTAGGCCAAGTGTTGAGGCGCGGTACGAGCGAGTGGCAGAGCTGCCGACAAGTGGGTTGGGCTCTTGGGCCGGGCTTTTTTTTTTTTTAATAAATATTGATTTTATTATATAAATCATGAGACTTGGCCACCTCTTTGCATGATCTTCAACTTAGATATTTGATAAATTTTTTATTAACCAATATTTTTATAAAAATTAATTTTATTTTGAGGGGCTTTGAGTAAATTATTCTCTCGAAAATAACGATAGCTTCTTTTAGAAAAGAAATTTTCTCAAAATTTATTAATAATAGTAAGATTTTCTTCTTTTTTAATTAATTCTTCACATGATAAATAAAAAAAATCAAAACTAGTAATAATTTGTTTGAGAATATGTTAGCATAGCGATGTTAATGGTAATAATATTATCATTATTGATATTCATACCTCAATTATGACAAAAGAAAAGAAATCATGTATTTCATTTTTTTTTCTTTACTAAAATAAGTAAGATGATATGATCAAGATAGAGGCTAATATCGATCTTTTCATCGGGTATCATGTGGATTCATTCAACTACCCATAAATCTGTTAGCCTAACCCTCTCAAAGCTCTAATGGGTATGTACTGAAATGAGCCGAACAAAATGTATTAGGGATTTGGATGATCTTTCTCCTACTAGTTGGCCAAATTAGAGGTGTAACTGAGTCAACTCATAAATGACTAACGAGTTGAGCTCGATGATTTACTGAGGCAAATCATTAGACTGCTTTAGAAATATTAATGTAAAATGCTCTTAAAATTAATAGAATTTAATGATTGAGTACAAAGGTAAAACAAAAATTTAGAAATCCTGAATATATCAATTTTCTCAATTGATTTCTCATTATTTATTCTCAAAATTCTCATTAGTTTCATTTTCTCTTTTTCATAATAAATAAGCTAAATTGGATCATAAAACTAAGCTCAATTTCAAATTTGAACTTAATTTAGTCAAACTCAAATTCAAATTGAAAAGGAGATCTCCTTTGTTGTACAATATTAGAGAAAAAAAAAGCTCCTTAAAATATTATTATAACAAGGATATGGTAGGATAAGGATGCTAGATATTAGAAAAGAAAAATATTTATAGTAGGATATTTTGATATAATTTATATTAAGATAAATTTAAAAATTATTGAATTTATTTTTTAAATTAGTGCTACATATGTAAAGAGTTTCATTGCAGTAATCTTAAAAAAATCAATAATTTATTAACCATTTAAATATCATTTGGATATCCTAACTTTATTTTTATTCTTAAAAAAAAAAAATTCTTCTAAATAAAGATATATATTTGTCTAACAAAAACATAAACCCAATTAAAATAATAATAATTTAGACATTCATACAATGCTATTAAAGTCAATGAATGCTTGAGAATGGTCTAACAACAGTGGTCTAATGATGGCAGTTGGGTAATAGTCCAAAGGCGATGATCCAATGATGATGGTTCTATGATGGCATTGGTTTGCCAATGAAGGTTGGGTGGTGGCAGTCTAACACCAGTGATCAAGCTGCGGAGATCTAGCTTATGGCAGAGGTCGGGTGACAACGATTGATGATGGAGAACGGGTAACAGAGTTCCGGTGAAAATGGAGGTCACACGGTGTTCTTATATAGGCTCCTTATCCTTACCTGAAATCATGTAAAGAGAAAATGCATTTGTTGCATATTTTTTAGAGATAAAAACCTCATAAAGTAAAATTATCAAAACCAGGACTAAGAGTATAGTCACTTACATCAATTAGAATAAAATCTGTAACAATAACGACAGACGAAGGTCTCTCTCTCTCTCTCTCTCTCTCTCTCTCTCTCTCTCTCTCTCTCTCTCTCTCTCTCTCTCCTTTCCCGGAAAACCAAACGAACTGAGAATGGAGTTACGACGCCTAAGATCTAGCCCCATTGCAGTGCATACCTCCTCCAAAGTTACTTAAGAATAAAGAGCACAACATTGCCAGCCTAGCATCGCAGCGTTGCTTGCTATATCATTTTTTTTTCAAATAAATTCATTATAAAATTTTAAATTATTAAATGATGGAGATTGGGCAATAGTAGTTTGGTGACTATTGGCAGGCAACAATGACCCGACAACAATGGACTAGCGGCAACAACCTAACGATCAAGGTTGGGTGGCAAGATAAAATTGTACGTGGTGTTCCAGCAATGCCAGTTTGACAATGATAGTACTATAATAGTGGTCTGACAGTGACGATCAGGCGGTAGTCCAACAATTGGGGTCGGGCAGATATTTAATAATGGCAGTCAATCAATAGTTTGATGGTGATGGTCCAACAATAATAAATGAACGCTGGTTTTACAATAACTATCGGGCAATGGTCTAATAGTGGCAATTTGCAATGGTCTGATGACAAGCAGTAAGGTAGTGAACTGGCAGTGGTAGTCCTAATGGTGCTTAGGGGGTTGCTTTGAGATTCTTCAAGCCTCTATGCTCTTTTGAATCTTAAAGGATTCCTCTTTATGTAGATAGTGGATCTCTGTTTATAAAGTTTAAAGAGTGACATGTCACATAACTATAGCCAAAATTTGAAACACTCAATGGAATGACCCATATTGATTCTGTTAATTATTAATAATTCTTGTCTCATATGTTTCTTGAGATGTCAAAATTATGCAATATGAGACTCATTGGATTCTTCTTATTGAGACTTTTGATTTGATTATAAGTATGCTAAATTTGGAGATCAATTGGTCCTCTAATTGATGGTCTAAAGTTTTCAAGTATATTTTAAGTGTTTGATATGAGCTCATTTGGACTTCGATCAGATCACTTTTAGTATTGTAGGATTCATCCCGTTAAGTTGACCAGTTTAACCATAAGTTTGTTGGAAACTAAAGTTGGGATAATCTAGAGTTGAATTTTTAAAATTTTCCACTTCACTTGGCATCAAAATTCGTGCCGGCCCATTAAATATTTATCTCAAGCAACTATCCCTAAAATTAAAAACTTGATTTGCCCATCTAGCTAAAATAAAAACCTAAATATTATAAATTTCAAACATGAATCCATTTTTAAAATACACTAAACATAACTGGCAATTGTCATTGTCCATGTTTGCTTCTAGCTAGCTCTAAAATTTTTCATAAACTAAGGCTTCATTTCAGACAGTTTTTTTGCTACTTCTTAAAGTAGTTTTTAGTACTAAAAATTTGCTGTAAAAAAACCGTCCCGAATGAAGCCTAAATCTTTCAAATCACACCAAACTGATTTGAAAGCAACTGTTTGCACAAATCAAAAGTAAACATTCAAACAAAATAAAAATTTCTACTTCTCAATTCTGTTCATGAATCATGATGGAAGATTTTTCTTCCCAATCTGAAAAAAACAAGTAATAAAAACAGTAAGGCAGAAATTTCTTTTCCTTTCTGACAGTATATAACTATACGTGTTTTATATATACACTGCAAGCTTATGAAGACTTCAAAAAACATATATATACAGTTTATAAACGACATGCAAGACAGCTATTTTTCTGCCCAACACATACTCCTATATCAGAAAGCAAGGGACACAAAGACTTCATTTGGGGCGCTTTCTTCCTGCTTCTTAAAGCAGTTTTTAGTATAAAATTTTTAATTTTTATATTAAAAAGTTGTTTTAAGAAGCAGCAAAGCAACCGTCCAAACAGAGCCTAAAGATTGATTTAGGACAACTTTCTTATTGTTTTCTGAAACAGCTTTCTAGCACAAAAATTTTTAGTTCAACAAATTTTGAACTAAAAAGATGCTTTAGAAAGCCATCCTAGGCTTCATATGTGACAGTTCTTGTCTACTACTTTTTCGCTACTTTCAAGAAATTCGGGTGCTAAAAAACTGGTGCAGAAAACAGTAAGAAAGTTGTCCCAAACGAAGCCGAAATCTAAAACCTTGTGGTCAAGAACTGAATTTGCTTAAGAAGTGGACTCAAAGCCTCCATTAGCTTCTCACAAGGATGGTTATGAACACCTTCGTATGTAGTTACTACAATGCTTGTATCCTTTGAAAGCCTCTGTACTTGTTTCTTCACATTGCAAGTGTGATGTGTGCAACGGTAATAGCTCCTTCATCAAACAAAAAAAATCAACATTATATATACAAAGAATGGCTTTAAGAATATTATTTTAGTTAGTTGATCTACTTTGATAATTTTTGCGTACTTCTTTGGTTGAAATTTTAAGCATTGTTGTTCTTTCATAAGTACTCTCTTAAGTAAAAAAATAAAAAAATATATCTTTCATAGTTAATTTAGGCTTTGGCTGTGTTTGGGACGGCTTCTTATTGCTTTTTTATTGTTTCTTAAAGCAATAAGAAAGCAGTCCCAAACGAAGACTTTTAATTTTTTATGTTATATAGAAGATGAAATGTTTGTCAATTGTTTGTAATTGTTTTATAACTTATAATGTAAAAAGAAGAGAGAATTTGGGCTATGAAATATGAACCGAATTTAATATTTTTAATTCATTTGATTTGTTTAAAGAATATTGCAATATAAGAGTTATTTGATTTGTTATATATTACACTTATCTTAAAATAAATTTAATGGGAAAAAATATTTCATTTAAATTTAAATTAGAATATTTACTTATATATATATATATATTCTGACTAATATTTTCAATATAAATATTAATGAATGAGTGTGACAATTAAAAATAAAAAATTTAAAAAATAGAAGATGTCAAGCATGCATGACCTAATTAATGCAAAAAAAAGGGAATGAAAACATTTCTAATTAAATTCAACATTAGTATGCAAGATAAATTCTCATTACAAAAGAAAATAGTTTGCAAAAAATAATAAATATTTTATCTGTCCATTCAATTATCATAATGTAAAATAGAATATTTGCTTAAAAAATTAAATTTATTTAAAGATTAAATTTTATTTTATTTTTTGAGTTAAATCTCATAAAAATTCTACATACAATGAATAAAATGCAAACAAAAAAAAAATAAAAAAAATCACATAATGCAATACTGAAACTTTGATCAAATGTATTAAACCATGCATGATTGAAGAAATTTAAAAATTTATTTCACTCATCAAAAAAACATTTTCAATAATTTTTTTTCTGAACATTTTGTTTTTCTTAGAGCAGAATATAGAACAAGCAGAGAAGCAGCACCTAGGATGAATACTGTTCTTCACAGCCTTCTGTCCATATTTCCTCCACCTGTACCCATCGTCAAGAATATCATTAGCACTCCTCGTCTGAAAGGCAAATCTCGGTCGACTCACCTTCTTCCCTCTCCCACTCACCGCCTTCCTCTTCTCCCTTTTAAAGATTAAATTTAATTTTAATTTTTGAGTTAAATCTCATAAAAATTATATACAATGAATAAAATGCAACCAAAAAAAATTAAAAAAAAAAAAATCACATAATGCAATACTGAAACTTTGATCAAATGTATTCAACCATGCATGATTGAAGAAATTTAAAAATTTATTTCACTCATCAAAAAAACATTTTCAATAATTTTTTTTCTGAACATTTTGTTTTTCTTAGAGCAGAATATAGAACAAGCAGAGAAGCAGCACCTAGGATGAATACTGTTCTTCACAGCCTTCTGTCCATATTTCCTCCACCTGTACCCATCGTCAAGAATATCATTAGCACTCCTCGTCTGAAAGGCAAATCTCGGTCGACTCACCTTCTTCCCTCTCCCACTCACCGCCTTCCTCTTCTCCCTCCTCTCTCCCACACCATTAACGTTCCCTTCTCCTTCTTCCCTCAGCTTTTCTCTCTCCTCCATTAACGAGGCACTTATTCCATTTGGAAGAAGAAGCGGCGGTGTGAGAGCAGAGGGAGGCAAAGCTGCTTCTTGATGGAAAAAGTCTGAAGGAAGAAGAGGGGATGGTGAGAAGTAATTGTGGTCAGGAAATAAAGGCGGCAAATCTCCTGCTTCCAAGTACTGTTCCATGAGAAGTTGGATAATGGAGTGAGGAGAGAGAAGAAGAGGGAGAGGGTTCATTTAAATGGTAGAATGAGTGAAAAATATGGATAAAGGTGGAATTTTTGTTGTTGGTGGTGGTTAGATATTGTGCTTGATGGAAGGTGAAGGGAGGTTGGGCATTAATGTTAACTGTAGCAGGGTGAAGAAGTGAGAAGGAACTTGAATGGAGAGAGAGAGAGAGAGAGAGAGAGAGAGAGAGAGAGAGAGGGTAGAGATAGAGAGAGAGGGGGAGTTAGAGAGAGAGTGGAGGGACCAACCAAATCCCAACCAACTTGTTTTTGTTCAACTGCCGAGCTGACCCCAGCTACAGTAGTAGAGAATAAGGAGAGATTAATGGAGTCAGTCAAGGTTGGGGAGTTGATAATTTAAAGTAAATTACGGCCAGTTGATTTGGTTTCTACTACTTAGGATTCTGTAAGAGAGTCGTGTTTATAAAAGAGAGTAATGTACACATGTGAAATAATATTTGCTTGGAAAATAATAAATAAAACTAGTAAAATATATTATACCATTTATCCCATCTCTCTCAATTATGATGGTAAACGAGTTGAGTTCTTGTTTAATCGAGCCAAGAACGTTTAAACTAGAGCTTAGGCTAAACTTGGCTCAAATGAAAAATATGAGATCGATTGAGGTCGATAAGAAAGCTTAACATTGACTGTTTTTTGCTAGAAATTTGAGAGGGCTCGCTCTGTGACTCCAAGTACTATATCTCAAAGCCCCTCTGAACATTATCTCTCGAATGCAATCATTTGACCTCAGTCTCCCTACTATAGTCTCTCTAACCATCGTCGCACGACTACGGTCTTTCAACCTCATTCGCCCAACTATAGTCCTTTCGATCTCTGTAGCCCGACCACAACCCCTCTTATCTCTGTCTCTATTTTATTACGATTCTCCTGACCTCCGTCTCCAACCGACTACATTCTTCAAACCACCACTGCCGAACCACAACTCCTTTTGGACCTTGTTTGCCCAACTATGGTCACTCCAACCACGACACACGATAACACACTACAGGAAAAACAGTGAAAACCGGCGGTTTGAACCGGCGATTTAGAGGCCGTCGGTATTACCGACGGCTACGCCGGCGGTTACGCCATCGGACGATAACGACGGCTTAATCGACGGCTTAGCTACGATACACCGTCGGTAATACCGACGGTGTCTAAACCGCCGGATATAGACGTGAACCGTCGGTTTTCCGGCGGTTTTAATCGACGGTCAACCACGACACACGATAACAATCCCTTTGCCTTTGTCGTCTACCGACTACGATTTTTCTTACCCTCATCACTGGCCAAGTACGATCTTTCTGACCTCAATCACCCAATTATAGTTCCTCAGATCGACCATAATCGCTCGCCGACTATGACCTCTATCGTCAGCCGAATATGATCCTTTTGGCCTCTATTTCTTACATAATATAGTCCCTCAGGCCTCAATCATCTGACTATTGTCCATTCGACCCCAAAAGCTAGACTACATACCTCCAACCTTTGTCATCCGACTACGTTATATTATTTTAATCTTCATTGCTTGTTGACTACTATTCTAGCTCAGACCACCGTCACCTGACTACAATATTTTCAACATTTGTCACCCACCAACTAAAATCCTCGAACCACCGTCGCACGACTACAATACTACATACCAAACAAATAGGCCAACTTTCTCTTGAGAATAACTTTCATGTCATTGGATTCTTCCAAATCCAAACATGTAATGTACTTTATACGATGTATATTTGCTTCATTTAGCTGATACCTTTTCTTGAGAATGGTTATTATTTATAATTAATAATAAATACTAGTGAAATCATTTCAACTGGGTAATGCCCTCTGATCTTTCTACTTACCAAAGTTTTTCATATAAAAATTCTAGTGTTTCTTATGACTCTTGCAACCCCCCCCAATGATCTGTGTGATAGATATTCGTACAGAGCTTGGACATTAAACTCTACATTGAAGCTCTCATAATATATGCGCTCGAACTTAAGCTTGAACCCAAACTCGTGGCTCGAAAAATTCGACTCGCGAGCTTGTTACCAAGTCAAGTTCAAGCTAGTTCACGAGCTGCCTTGTCTCACTTACACCCATACTCAGAATATAGATGGTGGTGCTCATGCCAGGAAAATTTTTAAAATATCTTTTTTTTCTGTTTTCTAAAACAGTTTTTTACTAAAAAAAAATTTAAAGATTTCTCTCTCCCCCCTCTCTCTCATCTTCCAGGCTCATCGACTTCTCCATGAAGCAGCTTAAAACAAGAGAGAGAAACATTAATTACTCACACAACACTTACTAATCGTCGACGTCGGTCGGTGATAGGAACCTTCAAGAATTAAGCATTATAATATATGGTTCCAATTGCATCAGCATAATTACTACGGAGCTCTTAATTACACGTTAATCATAATTATATTATATTAACTAAAGTGCAGACAAAGCTAATGAATAAATAAATAAATAGGATTACGTGTCTTCCACATAAAGTCAAGGAGTCCGGCACGATAAGCTAATCTGGTACGAAATGCATGCAGATCGAATCGTTAATTCCTATAGTAAAAATCATGAAGAAGGCAGCTTTTTAATTAACTTAATGATCTTAATTAATTACTTAGTTAATTAATTAATACAAGGCTTCGAGAAGATAAGAGAAAGGGGAAGGAGTGCTGGTGGGAAAAATGTAGTGTGAGAGGTTTTTAATTTTGTTTAATTAAAATCGTGTAGTGAAGAAGAAACCATTCACTAATGGAATTTTTTGTTGTCTTGTTTTGTATTAGTGAATGTAATTTTCTTGTAATTGTTATGTTTTTGCAATTAAGTGCAAGAATTAATAGAGCTCAAATTCTTCTTGATTCTTGGAGAAAAATTGCATTGTGTGAGTTTTTGTTAGGGCATTTGATTCATGATAAATTGGTATTAGAGCGACGAAGATGGGAACGATACGATGAAGTATGATATTAGAAGTTTGAAATGGGAGTCTTGATTCTTCATGAAGGGTGTCATGCATGATGCTTCGTTGGAAGGGAAGAAGTTCTCGAGTTCTTTGTAGAAAAAGTTGGGGAGTCAACAAATAACTCGACCTGCTATCTGGACTCAAATCTGATCAGAAAATTTTGAGTTTGAGTTGACCCGATTAATATATAGGTCGAGTTTGAGTGGTGCATTTTGATCCGTTTAATTAAACGGGTCGGATTCGTGTTGATCCACCAATGCAATTTTGACTCAAAGATGACCCGTTTAATATATATATATATGTGTGTGTGTGTGTGTGTATTAGTATAATCTTCTTATTTTTTATCATGAACTTAAAATATATGATTAAAAAGCTAATAAAAATATTTTTTAATTAAAGTGGGTTATCGGGTTTAATTAAACGGATCGGATTCTTGTTGATCCACCAATGCCATTTTGACTCAAAGATGACCCGTTTAATATATATTTTTTAAATTATTTATGTATTAGTATAATTTTCTTTTTTTTATCACTGAACTTAAAATATATGATTAATAAGCTAATAAAAATATTTTTTAATTAAAGTGGGTTATCGGGTTGCTAGCGTGCAAGTTTCGAGTTTAATTTTTTGAACCCACCCATTTATTAAGCGGGTTGGGTTCAGGTTGTTCGAGTTTTTGTCGAGATCAATTTCGGATCAGACCCGAACCCGACCCGTTTGACTCCCCTAAGAAAAAGAATGAAAAGAATTGATGGATAAAGGCACAAAGCCCACAACATGATAACCATGAGCTTGGGAAAGAAAATTCTTAGGAAGGTGGTGAAGGAAAAGATGGTTGATGGGATTTAGGTGAAATTGGATAATATGTGTATGACCAAGTCATTAGTCAACAAAATGTGTTCTTATTGAAGATGTAAGATGATGAGTCAATCAATGAGCTTAATAAAATCATTCTAAGCTTTAAAGATGTTGATGTGATGTTCAATGACAAAGATCTTGTTCTTCTCTTATTTAGTTCATTGTTGATAGCATATGAAAACTTCAAGATAGCCATTTTAGAAGAGATTATAAAATATATATATAGGAAATCCAAAGAAATATTAAACCTGAATGGGCATCAATTTAAGCCTAAAAATGAGATTTTGAAAGTGATTAAAGGCACTTTTGTAATGATCATAACCCTTGATACGTCATCACAAAATTATCTTGATCGGGCACGAATCTCGAGGCAAAAGCTAGTTGGAAACTTCAAAAATTAATTTTGGGAGCACCCGAACTCCGATTTCAGTGAGCTTATAGTCAAACTGAGCGTCTCGGAAATACGAACCCAACAACACCAAGATCAACCCAATCCGAGCCCAAATGAGTCCGAATCAAGAGTTCAAAGTGCTGTTGGAAGGTTCAAACCGCAATTTTAGTTACCTAACGGTCCCCGATTTTGACGAGCTTATACTCGAATCAAACGGCTCGACGAGACGAATCCAACGATCCTAAGATCATCGAATTCCGACATCATTAAGGCCTTTAAATGTCTAACGAACGGTGCATGATCAAAGGATTCGATATCGGACGTCCATTCAAACCACTCCCTGTTTGCCCTTGATCTCACGCCTATTTACGGGCTATGCCACTACAGAAAAACTATAAATAGAGCCCTCATTCTACACCAAGGGGACTCAAGTGAAGAGAGAGAAGAAGAAGAGGAGAAATGGGAAAAGGAGATTCCTCACCTCCTCGACCACCGCCGGAGCTCTTCCTGTCGCCTAAAGACGCCGGAACTCTGCCGGATTTTCAGGAAACGCGGGAATTCTGCACAACTTCCATGGGATGCTGAAATTCTTCCCAATTTACAAGAGAGTTCCCTCCTGACGTCGAAACTCCGCCCAAGTGAAGCTGGAGTACTTCTCCTCTGCCACCAAAGACGTCGGACTTCTACCCGACGTCGGACCTTCACTCTTCGCCAAGTTAATTTCTACCCGACGCCGGACTTCTACCGGTTATCGGACTTC